AAGACACTTCTTCCGTAAAAGAATGTGAACTCATCAAAACGTCAATTTTTGTCCGCTTGGACTGTTAATCAGAAAAACCCTTTTTTAGAAGAAATAAAAACAATCAAGACAGACTTGTGTCGTACGTTTCCCGAACTACGTTTGCTCTGATCTTTCATGCCGTGTGGAAGTACGTAGGCATAGGATGCGACGTCCTAGCGAGCAACCTTTCCCATTCACCAGTAGTTAGTCGAACTACGAAGACTCTGACTTTCTCTCTTGAGAATACGTAGGCATAGAGCAGTGAGGCTCTACCGAGTCCCTTTCTTTCTTTTTAACCCTTAACCCTTAGTTTAGATAGAAATAATAATCCGTACAAGAAAACAAGCATGGATCCCGTCGAGTACGACGGACGTGAGGGGTGCTAGTACCTTCCCCTTGCGTAACCGACTCCCGAATCCAGGATTTGGTTGCGATGACCATTCCTTTCCCGTCTTTGCGGTAGGTTTACTTCGAGCATTTCTTTTCCCTCCTTTGGGATAAATAACGCATGGTGGCGACTCTTCTGTTCAGCCGGCGCCGATTTTCGCAGTAGCGACACACTCCATATGAGCAACGATCCATTCCTAACAAGCTCCCCTTCGGAGTACGAGTATCAAACCCGGAATAGATCACATACACTCCTTTCGAGCAATGATCTATCCCTAACATATGATATGCACGACACCAATGCACATAACAACACAAGCACCCACGGTGCACACGATCCTCCTGATCACATTTCATCACACATCACACATCATATATATATATATATATATATATATATATATATATATATATATATATATATATATATATATATATATATATATATATATATATATATATATATATATATATATATATATATATATATATATATATATATATATATATATATATATATATATATATATATATATATATATATATATATATATATATATATATATATATATATATATATATATATATATATATATATATATATATATATATATATATATATATATATATATATATATATATATATATATATATATATATATATATATATATATATATATATATATATATATATATATATATATATATATATATATATATATATATATATATATATATATATATATATATATATATATATATATATATATATATATATATATATATATATATATATATATATATATATATATATATATATATATATATATATATATATATATATATATATATATATATATATATATATATATATATATATATATATATATATATATATATATATATATATATATATATATATATATATATATATATATATATATATATATATATATATATATATATATATATATATATATATATATATATATATATATATATATATATATACATATTCCATACATCACCACATCCATGTATAATAACATACACCAATTGAATTATTCTAATTAAACGAATATCAAGGAAATCATGTTCCACACCACACATACACTCTCCACAGTTCAATATCAATCTCATATTCAATCATGACCAACAAGGGTCCAATAACACTAGAGAACAGAACAGAACAACACCAAAAACACAAATTACTGTTCTGCTCGCTGGCTCACTCGCCTAGCGAAGCATCAGCGAAGGCTCGCTACACGCTCGCCCAACGAACTCCCTAGCGAAGGCAGACAGTGGCTACTGGAAGCACTCACTACCCAGTTCGCCTAGCGAAGCATCAGCGAATGCTCGCTACTCGCTCGCCTAGCAAAAGTGCTAGCGAAAGTCTGCGATTTCATAAAAACCCCACTGTTTAGAATCGGCAACACTCTCCGAAATCACCTGATTTTACTCAAACCAGTTCCCTCAACACTAGTTCAACATTCTACAACTTAACTACATAATCTATTCTAGATTCCACCCGATAAAACCTCAACTCTACCGATTAACTCATTTCCGGCTTAAAATGGTGAACTACCGAAAACCCCAAATCATCCAAACAACCACATGCAACAAACCTATCTTACCATCAACAATTCAAAATTACAACAACATAACGATTAACTTCATCAAAACCTATGGGGTTAGGGAAATCCCCTTCTACCTAGAATTCATGCAAATACCAATTTCGACCCGATTCTCCCCCCTTACCTCGATAGCTTGCTCAAGCTGTTGAATCCGAAGAATGATGATCCTAACCTTCTCCTCTTTTTCCTCCTCCTTGATCCTTCTCTTCAATTTTTCTCTTCCACTTGACCTTGCTCTTCTTCTTCCCTTTCTATCGTGTTCTCCTTCTTCTTTCCTTTCCAATAATTCTTCTTCCCAAACACTCCCTAATACCCCTTCTTACTAATTCTTTTATACCTTTAATAATAATAATAATAATAATAATAATAATAATAATAATAATAGTAATAACAATAATAATAATATTAATAATAATAATATTAATAATAATAATATTAATAATATTACTATTATTCATTAAACTATCATTATCATTCAATTAGTTTTAAAGTCCAAAGTTATCAATTAACCTCCACACTTAAGGGAACTTCCACGCACTCGACACAACCCCACGAAACACACCGCAAATAAAATAACACAGAAAACTAAATAATTAAAACGGGCGTTACAATAGGAGTAACCGGAAATAACCGATCATTGAAAGGTTGCAACTCAAGAAGAGCCCCAAAACCTTGGATAAGCGCCAGAGAAATTAACCCTCTACTCCATGACCGAGTCGCAGAGCCACGATGGCATCGAAAGAAATGGAAGAAAAAGGTCACATAAGGCTTTCTCTTCAAGTATTCACACCAATATTGGTAGACTTTTACATACGACCAACTTTCTAGATGAAGTTGTGAAAAAGCCATCAACAGGTGCTTAAGAACTTCTATCTCAAAAGCAGTGAAAGGCATACGAAGACCCAAAAAGGAGAAAGTGCATTCTTCAAATGGAATGACACAATCACCATACTCACTACATGTCCTTTCATCCTCATTTGGGGCCAAGACATCCTAATTCTAAGATAAACTAACTTCAAGAAAAGATCTATCAAGATTACCATCACTGACAAAGGCATAAACAGTAAAAGAATATACAGGGTCCATCCAAGAAGATAGAGCAATCTTCTAGAATTTTATTGGCACTTTTCTGTGATGTGTTTATGCATAATGCACTAACTTTTCAAATGTAGGAAAGCGGAGTGTCAAAGAAGAAGATAATGCTAAATGGAGAAAATGATGCAAGTAAAAGCGATGTCGACTCTTAAAGAGATATACTTTATCATGCAAAATGAAGTATACTCTTTCAAACATGTCAAGTCACTTGCACGTAATACTCAAGTGTTTCAGTTTCCAAGGATCGTAATGATGATACCTCTGAAAACACGTTTGAAGTATGGTGCATAAAATGAGTGAATCCCTGAGAAACTTGAAATTCTCCTTTTTCTCTTCCAAACATAAATGCAAGAGTGGTCGGCAACCGAGGCTGAAGTAGCAAACTCTTGCCTTGCTATGCATAAATACAGTCTTGAGAGAATCTGTTTTGGGCCGACCATAGTGACCTCAAACGACCACCCTGAAGGAATTTCAATTCTTCTAGAACCTTCTCAGCACACGATGACTCTCATCTTGTTGATCACAAAGGATCTAAACCGCAAGTGCATCCAATAGCTATTCGCAACTCACTCTTAAAAAATCGTGAGGTTGTAATTCTCTCCACTATAAATAGAGAATGCACCAAATTTAAATAACAAGTTTCAAATTCAATTGCAATTCACTATTCTTCCTCACATACTAAATTAAGCATTGGAGTGTTAACCTTGTAGGGCACCCCTATCCACCGCGCTGAAAGCTTAAATCCACCATCATTTTCGTTATTCACTCCTTTGAGAGTTCCATCATATGTTCAAGAAGCATTGAAAAATAAAAACATGATGCAAGTTATGGGTGAGGAAATGAAAGCACTAGAAAAAATAGAAGTTGGAAGATTGTCGAGAGACAATGAGGTAAGAAGTCAAATGGATGAAGATGGATCTATATTTTAAAACACAAGTCAGATGACATCTTTAATCGTTATATGGTCAAACATTGAAAAACTCATATACACAAATATCATGAATAAAATCGTAAGATAAACCTTAAGAAGGAAAGTGCCAAAGGTGACACGGATTGGTATAATATATTAGTGGAAAAGTTTATTTATTTGACACATGTAGGCTGAATTTGATATATAAGTGTGGTCGACCAAGTTATACATGATTCAAAGGTGACATGGATTGATATAATATATTAGTGGAAAAGTTTATTTACTTGACACATGTAGGCTGAATTTGACATATAAGTGTGGTCGACCAACTTATACATGATTCAAAGGTGAGACACTTACAATCTATATAACATGTTCAACAATATCTCAAAGTCACTCCAACGAGATGTCTCTTATTTAAAAGATGTGAAGACTAACTATGATGACTTACACTGATGTTGATTATGAAGATTCAGTGAGTGATAAAAGATCTACTTTAGACTATTATACTCATTTGTGTGCGGAGATTTAGTTGTTTGGAGAAGTAAGAAAAAAGTGTAGCTGATTGATCAAACAAAGTAAAATTTAAGGTTATGACACAAATAATTTGTGAACTATTATTGATGAAATAAATGTTAGAAGATTTGAAAATACAACGTGAAAGCAATATGAAATTGTTTTGTGACAATAAATCGGCTATCAATATGACTCATAAGCATGTTTAGCATGACGGAACAAAACACAGTTAGATTGAACGACATTTCATTAAAGATAAGCTGAATAATGAATTGATAACAACAACCTACAATTTTTCTCTATGACCTATTAAACAAAGTCTATTGATAGATACTCTGTTATGTACAAAATCTGCACCTCATTCCTATTCCTGTTCAAGATAGCTAAGAAAATGTGCTGATGTATTGCCTTCCAAATGTCTTGTAAGTTCTTCTAGATTAAACATCATGACTATGCTCATCCTGATGAGCCTTTATTAACATCCATAGCATAACCAAAATCATCATGCTCAATGCAAGAATCGCGATTCCTAACCATACAAGCTTAGCAAATCCCTTCAAAAGCTTGCAGTGTTTGAAAACAACTTGATCTATTGCATCTTTCACCAACTCACATCCAATTAACTCTTCCATACAAGGATACACATTTAATAGATTCTGAATTGAGCTTGTGTATGACTCAATTATCTCATATTCACCAGGAAATAGGAAGTCTTCATCGCTACATTTTCGATCATTGTCCTCGAAACACGTATAAGGCTTTAACACCTTTGGGATATCTCCTATTTGAATGGTATCAAGTGGACAATTATTTGGCTTGTATAAATATTCAGGTGGTGCTGTGAAAGGACTGCATATATAAACAAAATCCGGAAGCAATATTCCTTTTAGATTTGTCATGTATGAATTCATCTGCACATTCGACAAAGAACTAATTACGCGAGTTAAACATATACGCTCTAGGAAATATCTATGAAACACAGACACCGGACATGAGGCTAACACTCATACGACACCATAAAAAAATTTAGAAAAGTTCACCTCATGGACTAGATTGTAGATCCCTTCACCAATTTCTGATAGGACTGGTTTTGCTGAGAGCAATTCATCACAATGATGTATGTAACTTATGCTGTTATTGTAAGGATTTTCTTCAAAGTTCCATAGAGATGTACAAGCATCATTGGAAAAACTACAAAATAAGATAACTTTCTTTCAGTAATTTAACCTAAATATTGCTTTAGAATAAACATGAGAGTTAGATAATTAGAAAGAGTTTTGTTTACTTTTCCAAAACTAAATACACTCCAAAAAGTAACCAGCACATCACTATGATCAACCAGCACATTATCACAAGCCTGTCAAAAAATATGAAAGAGAACAAAATCATGAATGAAAATAATACTAAAATATTATAAGGTTAAATGTTAACACAAATAAAATTTTAGCTTTCTTACAAGTAAAGTAACCTCCATAACTTTAGTACTCCAAAAACTGTTTGAAAAAAAATTTGAACACTTTATTAGAATCATGCATATTTCACAACAAAAAATAAGTGATCGTTAATTGGTTCAGTGGTGATTGAAGCTGAATTTGGTAGAGAGGATCACGGTAAAAGAATGATGCGGAAATTTTTTAAGATATACCTGACAAAGATACTACCACAATCAAGTATAAGCTTACGATCACAATGGTTATTACCAACCTGAAATTAAGGTTTAAAATCATAGTCTCATTCAATGGATTTATTCATTTTATGTTTCTTAAGGAGAAAAGAGAGACCAAAAGAAAGTCTTACACTACTTTTAAAGCCTTGTTAATAATGAGCTTACTTTCTGTAGCTTTCTCTATGATATTTTCAGCTGTAGAATTAAATTTATCAGCGGTAGAATACAGATTTTCAAAAGCTTCAACACCAACATTGGATTCTATCAAGTTTTCATGGATTTCTTTTAATGCTCCTGTTGCATTGTTTATGATTTCTGATGCACCATAAGTTGTTTTGATTATAATATCAACCGAAGTTCTTGCTTGATAATTGAAATTCGCACCGCATGCAAGAACTAAACCACAGAAAACCCTAGAAAAAAACAAGAACAAAACATGTTAAAAACATCACTTATATATTGTAACGCCATGTTTGGATACAAATAAACTTACATGGCAAATATCGTGGTCATTATAGCTAGAGGAACTGACCAAACATCACAACCCTTGAAATTATAACTAGGAAATATTTTCTTATTCCTTCTTCCTTCACCTCTTTGGCAACAAAAAATGATTGTTACAAAAAGAACTCCACCGAAAAGCAAGAGAACACCAATTGCATATCCATATATTCCTGTGAAGATAACCGACTATAGACATTTAATTTAGTATATATTAAGAATCAAACTTAGACAAAGCAAAAAATGGTAGAGACACTTACACTCCAATAATGCTTATTTGTGATGACAAACCCTCCTTTGTATTTTTTGAAATTATCTAGAGGATCCACTCTTATTGTACTGTCTTTCTGTGAAATGGCTTGTGACACATTATCTGTATAAACTCATTGAAAAATGTGAAATATATATTAAGATCTTATTGTTTATATACTCTCTAACAAATATTGTTAAATATTATAATTACCTTTTGTGGAATCGCTATGGGAGATTACTTGTGCTGCAATTTCTGAGAGAAGTAATAATAATATAATCACAATACTATATGTCTCCATGAAGTGAAAAACTTGTATATCTGAAACTACTAAGCATAAAAAACAAACTAGAGAACAATTGTGAGAGCACAAAAGCTATAAGATTGCATGAAATGCATGCTGATAGAAGTTTTACCTAAAAAAAGTGGTAGTAGTTTAACACCACTGATTTATTTACTAAGAATAGACTCCTAAAAATAAAGAATAGATTTCTAATTATATTTGAAGAAATTGTTCACTTTGTTCAACAAAAAAAAGTGTCAAAAACTCTCTTACTTACAAGTATGGCACAGTCCCTTAAATATATGAGTGATAAATTCATAAATTTTGTGGAGAGAGATGTCAACAACAAAACGAAAAAAATGGAGGCAAACATTGAAAGGAAATAGGTGGAGACACCGGAAAGCTCACACGGACGTGAAGAAAAATTCGGCGTGGAATGCAACAAGAGGAAAAGACACTTGGGAAGGAGAGCCACTAACATTATTTCTTTTACGGAATTTCCGGACTCATTGGATGCCAAAGATATATTTGAGGTGTTCAAGGATTATGGACCGGTGATGGAAGCCTTCATTTTATCCAGCGGCGAAACTAGATAGTATCCACATCTAAGGAAAGAATTTTTTTTTTGCCAATATCCCTAGATTTCAGCGTGGTGTTATTGTAGAGAACAATCAAACAAAACCGGTCGAGGTCGTAGGAAGTAAGGGACAAATGCAGTGAGAAGCACGATTGTGGAACCCTAGCAAACCAGGTTTGTCGTATGCCCAGGCGATTAAAAAAAATATAGACTCAAGTGTGGAAGCTAGGGATAAGGTGATTAAGCAGATTGATAGGTATAAAAATCGAAGGAGGGAAGGTGCGGAGGAAAAGTCAAAGTTCGCACATCTTCAATTGAACATTGAGAAAAAGGATTTAGCAAGGTTTGACAAAGCGTTTGTTGGTGTAGTGGAGAAATGATCGCGACTTTCTGAGTTTAACTAAACTAACTGCAAGTGCACAGTCTATCGCGTAGTAATAAAAATATCGATCCCACAGGGACTCGTAATCAATCTAGTGTTATCAGGTGTTACTATGTTTAGCTAGGTTGGAATGAGATTCTAAGGAATTCAATGCGGAAATAAAGGCTCAATTTAAAGAAGAATTATTTGGTTAAAGAATAATAATATGGGACCTCGGCATGTAATACTTTAGCTTTCGGGGATTCGACACATCGTCGGTGCCGTTTAATCTTTGCAAATGGTTTTTCAGGAGAAAAATAATCGTTTAAAGACCTTTGTCTCACATTGATTGTTGACGCTAGTCGTAACTCTAAGGCGGAATGTATGCTTTCGCTATCCCATTTGGGGTTAAAATCACTTTTTGAAAACGACTAAGTTCTGATTTCTTTTAAAGCGCTTTTGCTGTGTTTAAAATAAATGCCTAGTTTTTACTATCTGGTTCAAACTCCACGCTTTCGCGTACCGGTTCGCGCCTTAATGAATTTCCCACTGTCGTGGCAAAACTATTGTAAATAATTTCTCGCTTTCGCGACGAAGGTTTATTTGGAAGATTTAATTAAAAACTACGGCCAGAAAAGAGTTTGTAAAAAGGAAAGACACCGGTTATTATCGAATCCCGTCTGACTTATTTATTACATACCGATTAAGTGGTTTAGCTAGACATGGTAATTAAAACTTGCATAATTAAACAATGGCAGCAAAATAAAGAAACATGCATTTTAAACAAACAAAATAACAATTAAATTAATAAAAACCTGAGATAACACTGTTCTCAGATCTTTAGTACTCCTCCACAAATGTCGGCAGGATTCTAACTTGGCGAGAAGTGAATATTCAGGAAGGGAAATACAGAAGAAAGAAAACAATGCAGATTAAAGGAAAAGAAAGGAAAACTGGAAACTGGAAATAAATTTGACTTCAATAACAATTTTGGCAGCACTTCGTTCTCTTCAATGCGGCTCCCCTTTTCTGGTCTAGCACACCTCCTTTTATAGCTGAGGTTCTCCCGTAAAAGTCTCGAGGAGTTGGAGTTGAGGGTCAGGAAATATAGGAGAATGTTCTTATATTTTATGGGCTTGCATGGGCACGTTGCTGATACGTTATTCTGTTTCATTTTGGCTGCGTGATGAGTGTGAGGGAAATGAGATGAGCATGGGGTGCATGACGGTCGTGAGAGACCTGTGACAGTCGTGGCAGCTGTCACGGTCGTGAGGGACTTGTGACGGTCGTGTCACTCACAAAAACTGTCTTTTCTGCTATTTCTTGTTTTTTTCCTTCTGTTTTGTGCCTTTAACTGTTGGTTTCCTCTGACTTGCTCGTTTAGGGTGTGATCTTCACATACCTGCAAAAACGCTTGACAAATAACTCGGAACAATCCGAAATCGGGGTGAAACCAAACATTAACAGCTGAAAAACATGGCATTTATAATATACGTTTTCGCGTTATCAAACTCCCCTAAACTTGAATCTTTGCTTGTCCTCAAGCAAAAAGTCTAAGAAATTTAAATGATGCAATCATATGGCGCACACTGTTTTGTTTTCACTATAGCTTTTGAGGCATTGAGTCGGGATGTCAGAGACTAGATTTAAAACAACACACATACGGCGACAATGTCACTAAGCAGTATGCGCTCGAAGGCCTCCTTCTTATGCAAGCCGGTTCCAATCATGCTACTGTAGCTCGGCGTAAAGTTCCACGCTTCCAATTTCACCCAGTTTCGTTCTAGCGTAATCACATTAAGCTCTTTACCTTTGCACGCACGTAGTGGAATAACCTGTTAGTGATTTGTTTTCTTTCTTAGCATGGGGTCTGGTGCACAAGTGCGGTACCCTTTTTGATGGGTCCTATTTGTAAGCCGTGGGGGATTGAATCGTAATTCGCCCTACCGAGTTCATAACTAGAGACCTATGAACCAGCTGACAAGGGATTTCTTTTTCTTCTCTTTTTTCTTAGCTCTTCTTTTTGCTTTGCTTTTCTTTTTACCAATCACTTATTTGTATCGGCTTTCCACGTGGTATGTGCTTGAAGGCGATGCTGACTGCTTATATAAACTACTAGGGGTTACGTTTTGTGCTGGGACTTGAGGCTTAGGTAAAGTAGGTAATGAAACTGACTCGCATAAACCGGAGGTCTAAGGTGTCAAGGCAGTATTGGTATTGTTAGAATTCTTTCTCGGGTTTCCCTAACTCGGCCTTTGTCTTGGCGTGTCGAGTGATGCATCGATTTGAAGTGACAAAAAATTTTGTATAGCTTGAATAAAGCAGGGGAAATTTGTGTAACAGAGAACAGTACATAAATGAGCTTTATTTTGTTGAATTTAAAATAACTGAATTAAAATAATTGAAAGGGAAGGTACATGGAAATAAAGGTCTTTCCCACACTATATCAAGCAGTGTCCTCACTGGTTCGATATAAATGCGGAAGAAAAATAAAAATAGGAATGAAAGTACATGAATAAAATAACAACAGGAAGGCTACTGAAAACACTACTCTCTGCCCCTGCCTCGAGCTCGTCCGTGACCAACTCCCGTAGCGTGATCCAAAGCGCCGGTATGATAGGCGTATTCCCTCAGGTCTTGCACTCGGACAGTGAGGTTGGCTATCTCATCGACGAGGATTGCTTGGCCTTGCTGAAGCTGCTGTAGGACCGTCATCATCTAGTCGTGCTGCTCTTTTTGCCGGATTTCGAGTTGGGCTGCACGCTGATTTTGTTGCCAGATGGCGAGGAAGATTTCTTCATTAGTGGTCTCGATATCAGGACGACAGCAACGTCGAGTGGATGGGCCTTCTTGAGAGGGGTAAGGTTGTGAGTCGACCTGGGTAGTACGGTCCATTTCCTCTTCCATTTCGTCTGCAGGGACATTATCATTCCCTTGAGTGGCAACAGCAGGGGCTTCCGGTGCTGCTAAATCAAAGAGCCAATTGGATCGGTTCTGAGGATTAGTGTGTTCGCGACAAGGCATGACGATGTTGCGAACGATGCGGTTACGGACCACCGGGTGATATCGGCCATCTGCTCAGAGTTTAATGAGGTGGGAGGAGCGGCAGTAGTCGATGTCGAGTAAAACCGGGGGCAGTGACGGAAGATCCTGAAGTCGGGCACCGAGGTCGAGGGCCAAGGCTATGGAGGTGATGATACCCCTGAAGTAGAAAGGTTTGGAGCCCCAACCGCAGTTCGCTTGAATGTGGGTAAGGAGGAACGGCGCGGCATTCACGTGCTCTGGTGCACAGACACAGTGGATGAAAAAGAGTTCTTTGGAATTGACCTTATGATTGTTGTCCCGAGCGAAGATGGTGTTGCTGAGTACTCGGTGAAAGTACCGTATGGCGGGGTTGTGAATGAAAGTGGCGTTTAGGCTGTCCCATCCATCAACGGTGGTACCGGTCAACTCATTCCATAAGGCGAAGGAAGCTTCGAAGAACTGATCCAAAGGAACGCGGCGGTGAGTGTTGTTGCCGTGGTGAAAGTGAAGCATCTGAGCAATCTGATTTTGGTTTAGCTTGTACTCAGTGGCGAACATGCGGAAACAGACGACACCGATTAGTTGGTTGGTTTCGCTGGGGGGAGTGATGTAAGAGAATGAACTCAGAAACTCCAAGGTTTGTGCCTCGTACGTGGGCAGCGGGGTTGAAATGAGTTGCCACAGCCCTGCATTGTGCAACATCCAAGTTACTCCTTCGAGAATGCCTAACTCCGTCAGGCATGCAGTGTCGACATACCGGGTGGCTTGGACGGTACGTTGATGAAATGTGACGTAGTTGACGTGTTGATTTTCTCCTCTTTCACCGTCTCTGAATGTAATCTGGGACATGTCGGGTAGTTTACGGGGTTGGCGAGCCATTGTGTTAATCTGTATGCAGAAGGGGGGGAGAATGGCTATGGAATTTGTGTTGTTCTGAAGAATGGTTGAAAGAGCGGTGGGGTTTTTATTCGGAGAAATGAGGAATAGGAATGGGTGGAGGGATTAAATGAGGGAGTTGAAGGGAGTGAATGTGTGTAGTGGAGCAGTTTCGGAATA